CACCACCCACTCTACACCTACTACTCCCAAAACCTCTCTATATATAGGACTTGTAATATACAGATACAAATTTCCATTATTGTTACCATTCTTGTTCTGAGCTCCACCACCATTTTTGCCATCTGATTGATGGCCACCGCCATTCTTCCCACCACCATTCTTTCCAGATGATCCACCTCCACCACCACCACCACCACCACCACCTTGATTTTGATTCCCACCACCACCACCTTTCTTTCCATTCTTTCCATCATTCACCTGAACAGGTATATTTCCACCGCCACCACCCTTGGCTTGAGCCAGCGCATTCATAAGCTGTGGATGCTGCTGGCCATTCATCATCATCATCCAAATCATCATCATCATCAACGTGAAGGGCAGTTTCATGCTGACTCCTCACCATTAAAAGCCAGTCATCATTTTCCCGTGTTCATCATTAGTGTGATGTTGTCCCCTTTGAGAAGGATTAAAAAGTTTCATGCTGACTCCTCACCATTAAAAGCCAGTCATCATTTTCCCGTGTTCATCATTAGTGTGATGTTGTCCCCTTTGAGAAGGATCCCCCCCTAAGCCTTTCTAGTCTTCTTCTTTACATTGCCTTCCTCAGCATCATCCAAAACCAAATTCATATACTCATCAAACCCAATAATGCGGCCTTCAATCCTCGAGTCCTTTTGCTCGAAAAGCCATATCTGGATGCGAGCTTTACTTTGAAGAAACCTGAAAATGAGATTGATGGGCTGGTTCATGATCCTCTGGACTTTGGTGGTCGCCATGGCCAACTCACTCCGATCACTGCCAATAACCACCACAAGAGCAGCCGCAGAAGCACCGCGCCGCTGCCACCAGTGTGCCACCGTAATCTCCAGCTCCATCAGCCTCGAGCTGTACTTCTCCGTCACCGCTCTCCACTCCTCTGGCTTGTCTGGCCACCGCGAGAAGTCCCTTGCTCGGATCGGGTCTCCACTCCAGCGTCTTCTCATGCGGCAGATTTTTTTATGAGGAACACTTTTTAATATTTTTACATCAACCCCTCTTATCTTTCCACTTTCTTTTTATTTTTTTTTATATTTATTCTACTCCATTTTTTTTAAAAGCCACCGACACCTCAACTGGTTTCCACAACCCAACTTTCTTTTTTTTTATTTTATTTTCTCTTTCTTTTTCTTAAAACAGAACCACAACCAGTCCCCTTCTTTTCTTATTTATTTATCATTCCCACTGCCGACACCGCCCCAACTTTCTTTTTCTTTATTTTATTTTCTCTTTCTTTTTCTTCAAACAGCACCACAACCAGTCCCCTTCTTTTCTTATTTCTTTATCATTCCCACTGCCGACACGCACATCCATTGCAAACCATTTACAAATTTGCACCACCAATCATATTTTATTCATGACCGGGTCCAACCTCGATCGCAATTTTACACACAAAAAAAAAAAAAAAAAAAAAAACAACAAAAACAAAAAAAAAAAACCAAATACACAAACAACCACACCCACCGGCGGAATTGGTAACATTTATACCCCTTTGGAGTAGAGAATAACCAAGGAAAACACACTTGAGGGAGCGAGGGTCCAACTTACCACGAGAGGGAGAGTGATTATGGACAAAACAGACACAACCAAATATTTTGGGAGGAATAGAAAACAAGGACGGAGAACCGAGGAGGAAGAAATATCTTTTAAAATATTCTCCACTCCAAAACAATCATCATTCCACCGCCCACTCCATACCTATTTTTTATTTTTATTCTTATTATTATTCTTCTTCTTATTAAAACAAAAAAACAAAAAAAACAAAAAAAATACCAAACACCATTGCAAACCATTTACAAATTTGCACCACCAATCATATTTTATTCATGACCGGGTCCAACCTCGATCGCAATTTTACAACAACAACAAAAAAAAAAAAAAAAAAAAAAAAAAAAAAAAAAAAAAAAAAAAAAAAAAAAAAAAAAAAAAAAACAAAAACAACAAACAAAATCCTATAAAAAATTTTAAAATTGTTGTACTTCCTTTTAGAGCAATTCCAATCAAACTCTTTATTTTTAGTAGCTAAAATATAAAAAAGATAATTCTTTATTTTGCCTAATTCCTCTTTTATCTTTATACACTAATCTTTATTTTGCCTATTTATAGATACAAACCGTTTAAAGAGCCATCAAAGACACTTCAAATGTAGCTAGCATTAAAGAATTTTGTTAAAATAACTATGGTAATAGTTAATCCATTGAAGTGATTAAAATATGATAATACACGCTATTAGAAAGGGAAAAGAGAATGGGAATTAAATAAGTAATTGACAAATGAAAAGTTTCATCTTCGGTTTTGGAACAATGTCTGGAAGTTTTGAAATGATTTAATAAGTTCAATTTGTAAGACTTAGGAATTATACAAAACACAAACACGACTTATATAAATAAATAAATAAATAAAAATGATTCATGGCAAAGGAGATCTCAATTGCATTGACTATTGGGTTTGTCAAGTTATAGATGCAACAGATTGATTATGAAAACATTATTTCAGGTTTGAAAACCCATTAAAAAAACTAGGGCATTTGGATTGAAGTAGCTGAATAACAATCTCATTACCGTCTCGAATCTCGATTAAAGGTTTCCTGCTTGAAATCTCATGCTCCACAATACTCGCTTCATCCTCATATTTCATTTCTAACTCAATTCTTACTTTAATCAACATAATTCTCTTATGATCATGCATTATATTCTAGATTTCAAGGCTTAAGGATAAAATTCTTACCTAGAGACTTGAGTTCACAAATGTTGAAGTTATAACTCTCAAATTCTCTTCAATCTCTCGACAATTCTTACAAGTTTCCTCTTTCTTACTTGATCCCAAACCCTTCCTTAGTCTCTCACTTCTCTCTCACGTTTGAGTCACAAGATGAGGGATTGAAATTGTATTCTTCATAGTCTTGAATCAACAATTTGCCTTATATAGGCTTGAGCAAATGTGTAATTATTTATTGATCAAGTTAATCAAGTAGACATTAAATTATTTTAATTTAATCGTTCCCGAATCGAATTTCAATTAAACCTACCATAAAATTCTAAATATTCTAGTTAACACATAAATCAAGTCAATTTCTGAATCGGATACCGATAAGGCTTTGAATTTGTAATCCGAAACGGAAACATGAACATATTTTTCTACGCTAAACAGATATAAACACATATAATGCAATGTATGATGCAAAATTTCACTTTAATTTCTTTTTAGGTATAATTAAACATGGATTAACGTTAACTATGGATCAGGGTTGTTACAACAATGTTTAGCCTTGGTTAGCTTGAAGTGTGCCCAAGTCCCATGAACTCCTTTCCTGAGTTATCTAGTTTTCTCTAGTTTTTATTATTATTTTTTTTTATTTTTTTTCTATCATGAATGTCCTAAGACCAAGCTTTAAGTTTGATTTGGAGTTGTAATTTAAGAATTTTTAATTTTTGTTTTGTTAATTAATGGATGATGGAAAACTCGGTAGCAACAATGATTAGAAGTTCTTAATTAAGAAAGTTGATTTTAAGTTTTAAACCATATTATGATATCCTCAAATTTGGGGCGTCACATGCATTGCACGGTTTTAAATTGGAACGATTTATTTTTTGGAAAGTGTTCGATCCTTGTAAGGCGGTAAATAGCATAGTGATCCGGGTAGTCGAATTGGGATTTGGAAATGAATTGAGTATGGTATTGGTACCCGCGCGGAGAGTCAAGGTGTTCAATTGTCTTGCCTTGTGCTTGGTGTTGGACGAATGTGGGAAAGGTTTTTTGGGTGTCCACGGCCCTACTGTATTGAGCCGACAAATGTGAAAAATGTGTGTTTTAGGTGCCCATCGCCCTTTTGTATTGTGAACCAGGAAATGTGGGACTATTTTGATATTAAAACACACACACACATGTATATGTGTGTGTGTATTGCGCTCTTACCTTGGGATTCTAGCACGTATTTACTGCAACATGCTTTATGTTGGACTTTGATTTTGCAAAAGTGCATCGACCATCATTCTTTTAAAAGTATAAAACAATGGATTTCGGCATAGTACTTGCATTAGCATGATCATAATGATATCAAACATTTATATACATTGTTAAATGCGTTTCTATTAGGCATCATTGCTCATTTTTATCATGACAAACAAATTTCGGGTTTTGATGATGTGATTCCACCCTACTGGTGTTCTCGTGGAAACTTCGACAGAGCACTGAAGGTCCTTGGATATTTATGTGTTTATAGCTACCGAGTTTACTTGTTTGGGAAAGCGTTCCACTTATTTGTAATGAAAGCCCTACTCTTAAAAGACGTGAGCTCTTAGGATACTTTGTTGTATTCCTCTTATTTATTAAATTATCTTGTATTATTTATTTTGACTGAAAGTGATGTAATGCCAGAATGTAACTTTTATAAAAGAAATTCCAAAGAGGGACAGAAATGTTTTGAGTTCAAGATAACATTGTGTTTAATCTGATTTCTTTACTTCATTTTATATCATGAAACAAGACGATAATAAAAGATTAGTGGAAATCCTTAAAATCACGGGCCTTATTCTATCACATATGCAAGTTTGCTAATGCCTATAAGTGAGACAAATTACATTACATCACTGCCATGTGACTCCTTTTTTTATTTTTTGGAGCAGTATGGGACACCCAGTGTGACACCTCTCATTAACAAGCATTGTCTACTTGCTTGATCGCAAAAAATGTTACATGGTAGGCCGTGACTTTAGTTATGTATGACAACCGTTAGTTTTAGTTAAAAAATCATTATAAGTTATCATATTAATTTCTTTATTTTTTTATATATATTTTTATAAAAAGTCAAAAAATTATTAAAATAATATATTATCAAATGAGACCTGAATTGAAGAGTAAAGCCACGGGGTGTAATTGTTTCAAGTAATTATAAAAGAACAACTAAAGTTTTGAAATTTAAATACAGAGTCAAATGAGAGAAAATCTCCATGAATGTAACTATAATGGTGGAGATCATGAAGGTGAGGTTCAATAGTTGCTGCGAATTCGAAAGACACATATAAATAGACGAAGTGAAAGACAGATAAAGCTTTGGAACATTTCTAACATTTATCAATTTCTTACTTCTCTTTTCTTGTTCTGCACTGAGTAGATTTTAATTTAGAGAAGTAATCTCTTTATTAGTTCTTACCTGAGAAGTTGCGAGAGAACAACTAATGTAATATACAAGTATAATTGAATTATTTAATTAATCAATTACTTTGTTTCTGTCTCAATCTCAACTTGATTATTACTGCATTAAGTTCTCTTCACTTTTTAAATTTTTTCAAACTTAAGCACAAATATTAAAGTCTTTTTTGTTGAGGCAAAAAGAACATTTTAAATTAACTTAATTATTAATTGTAAGAATTATTTAATTTTTACTAACATACACAAATTTAAATTTATAATATTTGAACTATCAAAAAAAAGCTAACAACTTCCTCAGAAATTTCATTTTCAAGTCATGAGGTAAACAGTCAATGCCTGAAAGTGTTTGATTCGATTCCAAAAACTTTATGAGTCACATGTTTCAAATTCAGACAAGATTTGAATTGATGTCCACAACATGCTATGCCCATCTCTTAGATTTTATTACAGTTTTCAAGCTTCTTTGAAATTACCATATTGACCACTTCAAGCATAAGTACTCTTGATACATACTGCGTTTGAATTTTGATTACTTTTTCATACTTTACTTTAAAATTTGGCTCTCTTTTGGTAGAGTTTCCAAACTTTAGTTCTACCATTTGTTTTTAACGTGGTGTTTGCTTACAGTTTTCAAAAATTAATTTCACATTTAATTTTGAAAACTCTAGCTAACGTGGAAAAATTTGGACTAATCGGTCGTCCCATCGGACGTCCCACCGGTCGTCCGACCGGTTGATCGGAACAGTGCACATATATATATATATTTTTCCAATTGACCCATGTTAATTTTTTTATATTCAATAAAAAATATTTTTCGAATTTTTTAAAATTTTTTATGAGTTTTGAATAGAATTTTGAGTTGTGTGTTTAGTTATGAGTTGTAAGTTTTTGTATCAAATATCATATATTACATCAAAAATTTCTCACTCAATTCAAAACTCATTTCAAAACTCATTCACCAAACAAATTTTTCATACTTAAATCATAATTCCAAAACTTACAAACTTAAAATTAGGGGTGAACATAGGGTTATCCGACCCGCCCTACCCTACCCTACCCTACCCTACCCTACCCGCAGACTTTTGGGCGGTTTCGCAAACACGTTAGGGTCGGGTGCGGTTTGGATTATGGCTGAATTTCGGGTTGCGGGCGGGTTGCGGGTTTGAACCGCACCCGCCCAACCCGCCTGCTTACATAGATATATATATATATATTTTTTAATGTAAAATATGAACCGTTGATCTTCATCTTTATTCTACAAACAAAAGTAAAAAACAAAGAGCAATGCTATAGATCACTAATTTATCATCACTAATCCCACCACTAGTAAGGTGGCAATTGAAAAAAAAGAAAAAAAAAAAAAACAAGACACAAAACACATGTGACAGTAGGTCCCATTCACTGCCACATCATTATAGCCACCACTAATTACTGGTATAAAGCATTTTTGAAAAACAAAACCCTAACAATTCATTCTCATCTCATCTTACACATTTGCGCAGCTGGAGCCTGGAGGAGAGAGTTGAGCTCCTTCTCTCATCTCATATCAGTCTCTCTCTCTCTCTCTCTCTCTCTCTCTCTCTCTCGTTTTTCATCACCGATCGATCTCTGCTTTCTCATCGCAACTCTGTCCGCAGCTTCACTTCGAATCTCACTCTCTCGTGCTTTGCAAGATCGACTCTGCTCAGGTACGACTCAGTCTCTGTTTTTTTTTTTTTTAATTTGTTGATGTCTGTCTGCTCATCCTTAACTTTGCTTTCTCATCGCCGATCGATCTCTGCTTTCTCATCGCAACTCTGTGCGCATCTTCACTTCGAATCTCACTCTCCTGTGCTTCGCAAGATCGACTCTGCTCAGGTAAGACTCGGTCTTTGTTTTTTTTTTTTTTTTTTTCTTTGAATTTGTTGATGTTGAATCTGTTTTTTTGAATCTGTTTTTTTGATTCACAGGTAAGCTTCACTTCGAATCAGCTTCATTTCGAATCTTTTTTTTTTTTTTTTTTTTGAATTCGTTTATGTTGAATCTGTTTTCTTGAATTTGTTTTTTTGATTCACAGGTAAGCTTCACTTGGACTCTACTTCACTTCGAATTTGTTTTTTTGAATTTGTTGAATTTGTTGTTTTTTGAATCTGCTCACAGCCTCACAGGTAAGACTATTTGTAATTAAATCTGTTTATGATGAATTTGTAATTAGATCTGTTTATGTTGAATTAGTTCTGTTTATTTTCTGAATGTTTTAGTTGGAGCCATATGTAATTAGATCTGTTTATATTGGACTTTGTAGCTTGCCCTGATGATCTAATTAGATCTGTTTTTTATTTGATATTCTAGTTGCCCTAATTAGATCTGTTTTTTATTTGATCTAATTAGATCTGTTTTTTATTTGATATTCTGAGGAATCTGATAAGGCATATATGAGTTGTTTGAGTTGTTTGAGGCATCCTCTTGTTTGACTCTGAATGTTTTAGTTGTTGGGTTTGATCTGGCAATTGAAAACTTGTCTTTTGTTGTATATCCTTTTCTTTTTTTCAAATGGGAAGAGATATTGTGTTGATGTCAATTATTAGGAACTTTATAATGTTCTTTTTTTTATGGATCAAGCAGCTCTTTGGAGAAGGGTTCTTAATGTTTTGTCTGCAATAATGAGCTTTTTTTTTTTGTTGACGTCTTTGATATAAAGGAATTGGGGTGCTATTTTACTTTATTTGAATCCAGTTGGATGGTAATTTGTAAGTACCAGACATCAATGGCAAGACCATATTGTTAGTATTACGAAGTCTAATCCTAGTGGTTTTTCTTCTTAACTTATCAATAAAAAACAATAATAGCTGAATCTTTTGGAAGAAGTATCTGTGAATTCTCAAAATGTCACTGATGTTTTTGCATGCTTTTGGCATGAAAACCGCTAATACAATGCTACATAAGATTTAATAAGACAAGTGTAATTATTCTGCTTCTTTGATGGTATCCTCATCAATGTATCTTTTCATTTTGATTTTGTGTCTTGCTCTGCTTCTTTGACTGCATGTCATCTTTAAAATGCAAATATAAAATGGTAAGGCATAAAGGGACACCCAAGAGAGCAAGTGGAACTTTGGAAAATTTTATTTTGTGATTTACCTGTGTTTGCTTCTGAACTGTGATAGATTATACTTCCCATACATTTCAGTTGTATGTAAGATGGCAAAGGCCAACTTCCATTACAGTCAAAAAAAGAAAAGGATATACAACAAAAGACAAGTTTTGTTTGAGAATTTATTTATCTTTATTTTTATTTGTATTATTCATTTTTTAATGTAAGTTTTATTAATTTTTTCTTGTTGACTTCTAATTAGGTACTTTGGAGTCAAGCTCATCTTCAACTTCAACCTATAATGTTGATGCTATAATTGATGTCTAATATTCATTTGGTCATTGGTAATTTTTTCATATACTCAACATATTTTCTTACTATATTGAGATGCAATATATGGACATTTGTTTATTTTTTCATTTCTTACTATAATTGAAGATTAAAGTTTATATTTTTTCAATTTGTTTTTGTGTAGGGTTCATCAACCAAATGCATGGGATTGGAATTTGTGAAAGTTGAATTGGATGTGATTCATGAAGATGAAGTTTGATATCTTAGATGAAGTTGAAGTTGAATTGGATGTGTTTTAATTTTATTTCATGGGTTTGTATTGAATGAAGTTTGACAACAATTTTTTTTTTTTATTTGCGTTTTGGTTTTGGATGAATGAAAATTAATGAATTTTTATTTTTTTTGCATTTTGGATGAATGTAAGTTAATGAAGAATTACTTCTTTTGGGGGGGGGGTTAGGAATGATGAATGTTGAATTTTCAATGTAGGATTTTTTTATTTGGGTTATGAATGATGAATGTAGGATGAATGCAAGTTAATGATGAATGTAGATTTTGTTTAGATTACGAATTGAATTTGTTGTGTTTTTTATTTTATAAGTTTTTTATAAGTTTTAATTCATTAATTATTAATGTTAGAGCATTTTATAAAATATGAGGAAAAAGGTCCAAAATAAAGATTGACAAAATAGGGAAAAAAAAAAAGTTTAAAAATAAATTTTTGGAAAAAAAATTCAATCCGCAAATTGCCCGCAACAGCCTGCACATCTGCGAATCCTATCCGCATAAACCGCAAACCGCATTGCGGCGGTTGCGGGTTGACTTTTTCTCAAATCGCATAGATGTGGGCGGGTCCAAATCGAACCGCAAATCGTTCCAAACTGAACCGCGGACATCCGTACTTAAAATACAACTTTGTTCTCAAATCATATTTAGAAAATTCTACCAAACGCAATCTTAATTTTCCTCCTTTGTTTTTTTTTTTTTTGGTTTCCCCCTTCTTCTACAAGTCGAAGATCCTTAGATTTTGTTTGCATGGAGAAATATATTTTGATTTAACTTATTTGATACACATTGAAGATTATGCACATTAAATTAGTCATACTATTTGAATTTTTAATGAATGATGACATCCCAATTAATACTTTGGATCCTTCATTTTTTTTATTTATTATAATAATAAATTCAAATGAAATTATTAAAAAAGACATGAATTACTTTGAGGCAACCCATCTCACAATTAAATCTACTCACCTATTAAATTATGATATAGGGTTCATGACAACACTTACTTCCATCACTATTAACGACCCACACACTTCAAAACCCTAAAAACCTTCAAAACCCTTCGGCGGCTTCTAGCGGCAATAGAGGCAACTATTTGACAGTACACACCTCCAACAATGGCATTGAGTGAAAATTTTTCCCACAATCCCAATATCATGAGACGAATGGAGCATCACAATGTAAGCTTGGAGAAGGATCATAGCTTGGATGATATTCTAAGCTCGCAGAAGGTTGACCTTGTAATGATAAATTTTTCAAAAAAAAAAAAAAAATGGTGAAAATGGTTCAACTTTTCGATACTAAACTCCCGAATATATGCCAAAAAAAGGGCAACATATGGCAAATTAAAAGAATTAATTTGTCAACATCTAACCAAACATTATTTATATATATGTTCATCACTTTGGATCCAAACTTTTTTATTCATATGTTTGGCACTTCGAATGTAATCTTAATGCATACTTATGTTTTGGTCATGTGATGAATTTCAATTTTATTTGTTGACGAAACTGATTGGTGCATACTTATCTTTGTTTGTTAATTTTGATAGGTTATACTTGTTCACAGGCACATGACTTTACGTTTTTATAATGTTTGATAACACAAGTTTGAACATGTACAAATTGTTCGGTAACATACGTCCGAACATGGATAATTTGTTCAACAACATAGGTCCGAACATCGTAATGAAGAGATCGACAGAGGAGAGAGGTCAACAATGAGGGTGATTGATAATAGACAAAGATCGACATCGGAGCATTGTCGACTGTAAGAGGAAACTTGAGTTCAACAGTGAGAGTTCAACAGCTAACGATGAAAGAAAGCTTGAGTTCAATGGTGAGAGTTGAACAATTAAGGGTTTTGGGAGATGAAAGGTTTTCAGGGAGTGTGGTAATAGGTGTGCATTTTGGTGGGTCCGATGTTTTTAGAAGGAAACTTTTGGTATTATTCAGATGGGTCTTAGAAATTTTTAGAAGTTTGAATTTTGTATGTGGGAGTCCAAAGAAATGGAGGATTCAAAGTTTTAATTGAAATGCTACTAGCAACACTCATTTTTAACATACTGAACAATTTTCTAATTTTTCCTAATTTTTCACATGGCAAGTCTCTCTCTCTCACACACACACACACACACATATATATATATATATATATATTAGCATAATACTCGTCCAATGCACGAGCATAAATAAATAATTAAAATTAAATAATAGCATCAAATTTTTAATTTTTAAGACACCATATGTGTTTTTTGGTTTTTTAAATTAAAAATTTTGATTATTTTTTTAAATTTTAAAATTATATAAAATTAAAGTTGTATTTGAAACTTCTTTTTAAAAAATTTCAAATTTTAAATTTTGACTTTCTATATAAACCTATACTATAAATAAAATTGTATTTTTTATATTTAAAAATTCAAAACAGTTAAAAAATTACATTTGAACTTCAAATTTTGTATTTTTTCAATCCGTTAGCTATGGTTTCATTAAAATTTGAACCAAACCAAACCATTAAAATCATGGAATGAATCTAAAAATGGTTCAGTTCTATTTGAAAATATGGTTTCACATAATCTGTTCACAAGAAAAATCATATAACATTAAAAAAAAAAATTTAACCTATCATAAATTATAAAAATAATAATAACATGTCTATCGAATAAACTACTCTCATAATATTCATCAGTTAAGCAAAAAACATAACATTAAGCAAATATTATTCAACATTAATTCGTCATCATTTTTCGAAACATAAACTTTCAAAACATAAATAAACATATATAGTTTAAGTTGTATGGCCTGGTTCGATTCAAATCCGAAAACCGTAGACCTAAATCCGAAACTAATACACGGAAACTAATTTCCCAATTTTTTAAACTGGGATCGAATCACGAATTAAAAAAAAATCAAATCAAACCTACCGAATTGGTCTTGACTAGTTTGGTTTGCAACCCTGCAAAGAGGCAATAACATTTTTGTTTATAATCTATATATATATATATATAGATAGATAGATAGATTGCTTCCATATATAGTGACATGCAAATCTAAATTTTGAATGATTGAACATACTTTTCTTTTAAAAGTCATAATTTATTTTTTTATGGATAATTAGAATTTTATTTTGTAGATTAAATGAGAGTTAACCATTAGAATTTTTTTAATTATTTAAAAATTAAAAAATCATAAAATTTAATATAAAGTTTTGGAGGTTCCACACCTTTTCTCTTTGAAAATACCCTTGTGCTTAATAATATATAGAGATAGATAGACAGATATAAATGGGAAAACTCCATAATACATAGTGTGTATTATATGTCTTACTTATAACATTTGTAATTTTTTTTTTTTCTTATAACTCATTGTGACTTGCACTCCGTTTGTTTAAGCAGAAAACATTTTTTGGAAAATGTTTTGTGTATTTTCTGGCATTTGGTATAATGAAAAATAAAAGTTAATGGAAAATATTTTCTATGTTTAATAGAAAACAAACCTATATGGACAGAAAATGTTTTCCACTTTTAAAAGGTAGAAAACGTTTTCCGAGCTAAAATCTTACCAATGGTAACACACTACCACTGCTACTCTCACCTCCATCACACCACCATCACCACAGCCTACTGTCACCATCACCGTCTCTAACAGTGTCGCCGTTGCCCTACCACCATGCCGCTACCTCCACCTTCACCTCCACATCTACCTTCGTTTCACCACCACCACCACAAAAAACATAGAAAAATATTTTCTCTATAAAATATCTTCTAGAAAATATTTTCCATTTGAAAATCTTTTCCTCTCAAACAAACAGAGTGTTAGTTATGACTCATTGTGATATTAGTTATGACTCATTGTAGCCTTGATGAGGACTTTTTGCAATTGTTGTTTAGTTATGATTGAAAAGGTCTTTGATTATACTTTATGTGATGTTTAGTTATGACTCATTTATGATGTTTGGTGCAACTTATTGTAAGATAGAAGCCGATCATTCAAAAGTAGAAGGCAAAAACACACATTATCTAGCTTTCATAAATCAACCTTTTTTCAATTTATTTAAGTTATTTTTACCTAATAAGTTATAAGCAGAAGTTGTACCAAATAGTCTAACACAAAGTATTGATATTTGTGATAATCAACACTACAATAATTTACATATGGTACACACTATTTTACAGATGTGTACCATAATAATATATATATATATATAGGGATAGGCTTCTCTTTAGTCCGTGTTCGGTCTGGAGTGTGCTATTGGGCCCATGGGGGCCCACCAAAGGTTCCGTTTTGATAATTCAAACCGTGCAATGTGCAGAATTAGTCGATTAATTTATCCCTATAAAAACTTACGCTGATCGGATATTGATAGCTACTTGATCGAATCAGATTTATGTCAACGGTAAATATAATTTTCAAAATAAATTATTGACAAAAATATGATCCGATCAAGTAGCTATCGATATCCGATTAATGTAATTTTTTAAAAGAATAAAGTACTTGACAAGCTCTACACATTGAACGGTTCAGATTATCGAAACAGGACCCGTGGTGGACTCTATAGACCCAATAGGATCGTCCAGTCCACTTTATGGACCAGAGACAAGCTGCTCTGTATATATATATATATATATATATGTATATATATCAGTGGTTACGGAAGTGATTTTAGTTATGAAAACCTGTAATTTGTCCCTTCATAGTGGTTAGGGTGGTGATTTGGTCTACCACCTACATTATTTCATATAATACAATATGGATGTAGGAAATAGACAAACAAATTAATCACTTGGCCCTTGTGCTTAATCCCTCACGAAATCAATTGCTGCTTATAATAAGAGGGTCTAAGCTTGAAAACATTTAAAAAAAAAATTGCAGACAAAAAATAAATAAATAAAAAAAACACGGAGGGAATCATCATGGAGAAGCTCATAACATTAA